TGCACACAAACACATACACAACACTACACACACATATATATATATAATAAAAATAGAAAAAATATATATACAGATATATAAATAAATATATATATAATATAATATATAAATTTATAAATGTTGTATTTATAGACATACATAATATACATACATATATATATATATATATATACATATATATATACATACAAACATACATGCATGCATATATATATATATATTAATATATATATTAGATACATGGAGTAGATACGTGTGTTTCTGGGCGCGTCTAAACAATATATATATATATAAATATAAATGACAGGAGCCAGTCGTGTTCGTACATCTGTATATACATATGTACATCTCTGATACACGATATCACCCAAGGCCACCTCTTTAAACTGACGACAGTGAGGTTCTGACGCGATGATCTTAGATGAACTCTGGCGAAATAATTCTCAAGAAAGTGTGCATAAGCCTATGGGGTTCTTTCCTTATCGAATATAATATAGATATCAGGCTTGAATGTAGTAGTTAGGTCATACCTCAATCAGCCGTTTCGTATCTGCATCCGATCTAGCTGAGTAGAATTTGAAGGCCAGGAGCAGAGAGCACCCTACGACATATTGAGAGTTGTAGCCAGTCAATCTATTGAGAGTTGCAACGAGTGACTAGCTGAAAGCCATCAGTTTGGGTTACATCATACCGTATAGTTGATCACGCATAAATATAGATTCAATACCCTCCTTCGTTCTACATCATGCGCGCCCTTGTCGGGTGCTCAGAACAGTCAGATATAAATGTCTGTAAGGCCATCAACCAGTTCAAAGCGAGAACACGGTTCACGGTTGGCACGTTGTTGTGTTCTTCAGGGATAGTCAAGCCATTCATTGCCAGTGGCAAGCCCGCCCAGCAACTGCCGACTCTCTTATACACCATACACAGTTTGTTCTTCACTATTCGGCACGTTCGTTCTCAGAGTTCAATCGAAAGGTCTTGCAAATACAACCGTCTGCGCATAACGTGATACAAATATACAGGCCGACATACCAGCCAAGACTTTCCGATTGGCTTTGTTGACAGCGCCTTTCTCTATCAGGTGCTCAAAGTACAGGTGGCTCAGGGCTACTATCGCAAGCTCGCCGTTGATTGCATCCAACACGATCTCCGTCAGCGCCATTTTGAGACTGCCCACAACGAATGCAATCGCGTTAGACATTGGTACTTGAACAAAGTTTTCGTTCGAGGCAATGACCAGGAAGGTGGTACACACAGCACATGTCAACGACACGACCACGCACACCTCGCTATATAAGTCCACTTTTTATAATATACACGCGCTTGGGAGCTATCGCTGAACGAGAGATTTTGACTCCTCGCATCAAGAACAACACCAATGCGCACACACTCGCCCCCCATCCAATACCTTCTCATTTTACTATGCGCATCCACTCGCCCCCCCCATCCCATACCTTCTCATAAAACCCTAAAACACACTCTCCCCCCATCCCTTACCTTCTCATTTTACTATGCGCACACACATACCTTCTCATTTTACTGAGGGAAATCTGCAGATCGGGGTGTCTCTCGCGGAATTGCTCGTTGAGATCCCGCTTGAGATCGCTGGGCTTGGCGTACTGTATCACAGACATCTTGATCGACGGCAGCGCCAGCACCTGCCGGTGTTTGCCCGAGCGTAGTGCGGGATCGTCCATGATGTACGTTCGCTTCTTGAGCCCCTCTTTGGCCTCGTCCGTCTGAGGCCACGAGGACTCGAGCAGCTAGTGATGAGTGGATGAATGGAATAGGAGGTATGGTGTGGTCAAGTTGGAACAGCTTGTATATGTTTCCCGCGAGCCACACTGACAAACCGAGGACTCCAACGCTACACTCATGGGCAGTGAGCGAATTTGTATTGCGTACACACTTTGATGTCACCGCTACTCTCTGATATTTTGTCATTGGAATGTGGAGTTGCGCATTGTGCGCCATGGCTTTGAATGCGTGAATTTGAATCCAACTAAATCCGACTACAACTTAATCACTACACTATGCGTGCGAGTTGGTACTGTTTTGCGCAGTGTTGCTTCTGGAGATTGAGTGAGATCAAGGTTGGGAATCTCCCGCCACTTCCAATCTCATACACTCCCTCTTGTTTGTGTTCCAACATCTGCCTCCAACACCCACACACATGCGTACGTACACACATACATATCCGACTGTGTTGACAATTTATTTGCAACATAAACACATTTCATCTTTCTCTGTTTTCCCATCACAAGCAACAGCACCCTACACAGTCGCCCATGAGACCATGCTTCTTTCTCTCTAATACACACACTTAGTCTTCTACGCTCCAGTATATATGAACATTTCCCTCTCCCCAACACACACACACGAGCACGCTACCCACCCACCTGCATATACGACAGGGTGCCTCTCTCGCGCGTTCGTTGTTGAACACCGAAGTGGCCACTCTGCGCATCTGCCTCGCCCTGCAGGTCCTTCTCGCCAGGATCGTACTTGATCACTGTGAACATGTAGAACGGACACCGCGAGTGTGGCGACACGAGAACCAGCGGCTTACGAATGCCACGCAGACCCCCCCGTGAAGCAATGTACGTTGTTCCGCCATTGGGCAGTACACCTGCGCGCAGTGGGTAGGTGGGTGGGTGGATTTGTATCAGCGGTTGGAGTATCATGCACGAGAAAGGGGGGGGGAGGGGAGGTTGTGTGTGTGTGTGATAGTGTGAGTGAGCGAGTGAGTGAGTGAGTATATGTATATGCATGTGTGGGAACGGGAGAGAGATGTAGTGGAATAACCTCGGCAGCGAGACAATGGGGTGCCAGACATAGATGGTTGAGCAAGAGTACTGAAAATGAGAATAGAAAAGAATATAGTCGCTATAGTAAAAAATGAGTACAATATCATTCTTAGGGAGTCGAACAGTATAGTCAACGATTCGATCAGTATGATGAAAATGGATACCGTCAATCTACCGGGATTTTACTGTTAACATAAAGACAGCCCGCAAAGAGTTGAACAATTGCCGTGATATTTTGCGTTACAATAGTGAACGAATAAATCAAAATAAAGGACACACGCACTGTAGAGAATGAAGGCACGGGCATGACACAAGCAATACAGGCCTATCACTGAACTAGCAGGGATAGCAACGTCACAATCATGGATAGCAACGTATCAATCATGAATAGCAACGTTACAATCATGGATAGCAACGTCTCAATCATGGATAGCAACGTATCAATCATGGCTAGCAACGTCTCAATGATAAATAGCAACGGCACAATCATGGATAGCAACGTCACAATCATGGATAGCAACGTCACAATCATGGATAGCAACGGCACAATCATGGATAACAACGTCACAATCACGGATAGCAACGTCTCAATCATGGATAGCAACGTACTCAATCA